TTTAGGCTGAAGAGGGGTCTGCTCAACTGTATTGGAATCTGGATGTTAAGCCCCAGAGACTCACTTCCAAGTCCACAGTAAGTGTATGTGTCTGTGTCCATGTATGTGTGTATGTGTGTGTGTGTTACTTATTATCACGGATGCATTGTGCTTTTGAACATAGGTCTCCCTGACTCCAGCAAAGTGGGAACCTGGACATCTTGCAGACCCACTCTCCTTCCTTCTCTATCCTGCTCTCACCCTCTGGAGGCTGGCCAGCTGGGGGTACATAGCTAACTCCTTGCCATTTCTGGCTTTCTGCCGGGAAGCCCTAACTGCCTGGGGAATCACAGGGCATGTATTCCTGGTCTTCTTCCCTGTGGGGCTGCCTCTGGTCTGGGTCCTTTAATGTAATGGCACTATTCCCACACTCTCTCTCCAGCACTCCTGCCCTCTGACCCTGGAGAGAGGCTCCTGCAAGGGACACATGCTTTAGTGCTCTGACTCCCCTCCAGCTGCCTGTGGCCCTGGTGTGAGAGGCCCTGCCCCCACTCTGCATGCCCGCACTCCAGCTCTCTCCCAGTGTGGGCTGCACCAGCAGTGGTAGCCCTAAGCCTGAGGGGTTGGCCGGAGGGTGCGTGGTGTGTATGGCGTAGGTTCAGGGGTAGCATGGGCATGAAGGTGTGCACCTGTATGAGTGAGGTGACTGTGGTAACAGCAGAGGAGGTGTGGGCAGAAATGGGCAGAGCTGTGAGCCAGGATCTAAGACCCAGGTGTTTCCCTCTTGCCATTTTCTGCACAGAACTCAGAGCAGTCTGAGACTTCTGAATTCCAACTTGGTCTTCCAGGTGGTTTGTAAAGGCTTATTTGCCAAGGTCAACAGATAGAGAATATTTCATTGAGCCGTTTGTTAGTTTGAGTTATAACTTTCAAATATTTAGACATATGGTTTGGGAGGTCTCCAACTCTTCCCTCATCCTGGGCCCATAAATGTGAGGAATGAGTGTGCCTTCCAGTCAGCACTCTGTCCTTGCCCCCGACCCCTTTGGGCTTAGGGGTCAGATGCCCCAGGCTGCAGTCCCGTGTGCTTCCATTCGTATACGTTTGTAAGCCCACACTTTTTGTATAAGGCTCTCTGCAAATAGATCCCCTTTGAGTTATACTGTTGTGAGTGGGCCATCTGTTTCCTGTTGGGACCCGGGCTGGTTCCACAGGTGTTTCAGTCTGCCTACCCAACCTCCCCAAACACCTCACACAATTGTTTTACTTACACCTCTCAGTTCTGCTGCAAGCCATTAGTCATAGGAAGCAAGGTGGAGAGAGATGCTAAAAGAGACAGGGGGGCTAAAGGTTATTATAGCTGTTAAGCCAAAGTGTGTGTGTATACATGGGGGTATGGTATCTCACAAGGTGCTTTCCCTCCCAGCCCCACCAAAAGCGAATGTGCGCCAAGCCTGGCTGCCATGAGCTAACCTCTGGAGTCTGCAGATGCTCCCGTGACCCCAGCTGCTCCATTGCCAGAGAAGGTGGCACCTTTCCCTCCATCACTTATGCCCCTCCCTGCAGGGAAACTGGATTTTTGTCCCCTCTAGCCCCTCTATTCAGGGACACTACCTCCCCAGTTCTGCTCAGTTGGCCTCCCTCACTTCCCACGTTCCCTAGGAAATATGCAAATGTCCCTCCCCCATAGCAGGTGCATGAAGCCAGCTCAGATGAGGTCATGTATACAAATGTAACTGGGCTGCTGAACAAGCAGCACTTGTGGTCTAATCAAAATACAATTTTATTTTGTCTCCTGCAACTCTTTTGCAATTTAGGGTTAGGGATAAATCTCTCCCTGCCCTGGATGAAATCTCCAGCAAGCTCACAATTATTCTGCTCACTCAGGTAATAGATATTCCTAGGTCACTTTGAATTGCAAACAAGGTCTGATGTAGTAATTAGAACATTTAGTCCCAAACTCTAATCCTGATTTAGTTTAGTGTCTTCTCTTCCCCACCCCCGCCACCATGGGCTGAGTTTTAGGATGGTACACTGCAACGGGAAACAGGGTAGAGGTGTGGCTGGTGTCCCCATTTCTTCACCTTGGGATCTCCCATTATCCAACCTCCCCAGATGGTGGGGGGATGGAATGGGTAAGAAAGGCCTTACTTGAAATATGTGCTCTTATCTGATGTCACGCTTTCTCGGCCTGTAGTTGTTTTTTGTTTCTCAGCCTGTAGTTGTTTGGGCTAGATTTTTCTCTTTTGGGGTGCTCTCTTGGACCATCTGGAGTTCACTGTTGGGCCCCTCTTGCCTTAACTTCTCTTCACCCAGGGAAAGGCATCTTTTTTTATGGGTAGTAAACTCCCTGCCCTCCCATCAAATGTTAGGACCCCAAGCTGCTCTTCTTTAGTGTAGCCCATATGTATTCCTTGGGAAAACATCCCTGCACAGACAATCTATAGAAGTGCATGAGATCTGAAGTCAGCAGTCTCCCCTGGGTCCACCAGGAAAGTGGGCGGTCAGCCTCTTAGTCTTCCCATCCTCTGGATTTCCCAGGCACCTGTGTGTGTATGTGTGTGTACATATAGCTGTGTATGTGCACATGAGTGTATAGTTCTCTGGGTAGCATGGAGGAAGCCCCTGCTTGCCAGGTTTGTGGTGAGAGGGGAGGCACTCGGGCAGTCAGACCTCCCACTTCCTACTCAGGGGCATGCTGTGGGGAGAGCATTGCCCAACTTTCCTCAGAGAGCCCCTCCTCCCAAATTCTGTTTCTTAAAAAGAGTGAGGAGGTTCAAGAGATAGAGAATGGGTGTCAAC